GACTTTTAAAGCAGTATAATAAATATTTAGATCTATACTGCAAATTTGAACAAATCCTGGACAATATTAGGCTTATAATTTTAGTAAAAATCTTATATTCATAATGACTTCATATTCAGTCACCAAATATGAAATATCTATTTGTACTTTCTGACATAACAAAAAATACTATGAAACATATAGTAAAATTCCATTTATGGAAACATCATTAAATGCCCATATACAGGCGCCCAACTTATTTATTACACAAATATTGCAATCATAAAACCATAACAAAAAAATTAATTAATCCTTATAAAAACATTTACGAACAAATTTATCAACATACTTAAAGTTCATTTTAATTTTAAGTATTAAATACTTTTGCAACAAAACTGTCAATATAATTTGCATAGTATAACACTAGATGCTAACATATAATATTAAAGATGGTCTAATAGTAGAATCCTTTGTTTAGTTATGGAAGATTGACTAATATTGCATCCAATCTCCATACTCTATAAAAACTGTATGATAGTGTTCTACATACATATTTAGCAACTGAAATTATGTATTTTTTAGATGACTTAATAATAGATATAAAAGCTACTTAAGAAAGTCGACTACAACCACAGTTACTTGTATCACCAATTGATGTTGTTTTTCCATTTATTGAGGTTGCATTTGTTTCATATCTAGGTAGTTCCTTACTACGTGCTTGCTAAAATAATGTTTCAATTTATCTACTAATTAATATTTAAATAAAAATTTTAGAAAAAGAAGTGTATTGTCTTACTACCTCCATGAGTTCAGCTGCTATTTCCATGAACAACCGCTCTACATTTTCTGCTTCTTTAGCAGAAGTTTCCAAAAAGTACATTCCATGTCTCTGTGCAAAATCTTCCCCTACATGTATTGGTATTTCTCTGTCTTCTCGATCAATTTTATTACCTAACAAAATAAATAAAATGTATAATTGATACAATTATTATAATCACATATAATACTTACCTACTAATATCCTAAGAACTTTATTACTTGCATATTCTTCAATTTCTCTTAACCAATCTGGTAAACAATCAAATGTAGGTTGACACGAGATATCATATACTAAAATCAAAGCATGAGCTGACCTATAATAACTTTGTGTTATTGAACGAAACCTTTCTTGTCCAGCAGTATCCCAAATTTGAAGCTAAAAGAAAAGACAATACTAATTATGCACAGCACAAAATTATTCTGAAGAAGTATATCTGTATACATAGGATGAATCATAATGTATTACATCATATGCATACCTTAACTTTCTCATTTTCTACTTCCACAGTCTTAATCATAAAATCAACACCTATTGTTGCACCCTGGCCAGGAGGAAATAGTCCCTATAAAAAAAATGTATCATTAATAATTGAAAATGCATATTTAAAATATATTTTCTAAATGAACAATCTAAATAAATAATCATCATGCTACAAAAACAGATGGAACAGCTTACATACTTTCTATGTAACCTGTTAAAATTAATTTGACATAAAAGAATAATTTTTCCATTTTCAATAATAAATAATATAAGTTAATTAATGATATACGTATATACGCATATATACCTGGGTAAATCTGCGCACGAGGCAAGTCTTGCCGACGCCCGCATTTCCTACGAGCACAACTTTAAAGAGAAATTTGTAGTCCTCCATCACATCCGTACCGTATTACGGTCAGGAATCTTGTATAAAACTAACGATGCATTTGCAAACACGACACGTTCAATTTTCGCAACCGTTCACTTTGACGGCAGCACAAGAAATTTTATAATATATTTCTTTTAATGAAATCCACTTTTCTCCCAATCTATTGAAGAAACCTGTTTACGACGTCATTCTTCGTATCGTGTTATTTTACGATTTATTGAATACACCATGTTCCATTTTTATAAGATAAATAGAAACACGTACTTAACAGAAATCGTGACTGACTTTCTAGACTTTCTGCCATTCTGTCAAAATGACGTTTTCTCTTGTCCCCGCCATTGAATCATGACGTTATCATGATTTAGAAATTATAAAATTTGTAAGTTGAATATAAATAATGAACTTAAAAATCCCGTATTGTTCGCTGTTTTACTCTTCAATAATTGTATAACACTTGATTTTATATATTAAAAAGTTTAAAAATAATATTCAAGTAATCGTAAAGCTAAAAAAATTATCCTATGAATTTAATAGTTACTTATATTTTACAATGTTAAAAGGTACCATTTTATAAACGATATTTATAGATACAAAACAGCACTTTGAAAATCTGTTATAAGTAATAGAAAATACTTATAATATTTATTACAGCCTATTGTATCAAATTTCGGTATTATTTCAATTTCAGACTAGTTTGTCGTCCAATATAAATGATCCCTAAGTAAATCGCGACAATGAAAACGTAACTATTTGCTTTCATTTTGCTCACTAGCGACGCGCGCGGATAATTGTGAAATTCTCCTATACTAAGCAAACTAGTTGTTGTATTTTACAACGAAACGTCTGATTGGTCTTTGGCTGAAATTCAACCGACAGAGTAAGAATTCTGACCAATCACAATTACCTTTATATACTTGTAATCCCGTTAGAAGGTACAAAGGAATGGTAGCCATTTTACGTGGATATCCCGTTTGGCGTAGCAGTAGCATCCGCGTGATTATCGCGAAAAGTCAAAATAATTGTAGTTCGGGATATTCTTGTTTTTTCGAAATGCGTTAAAAAGGTAAATGTTAACCAGTGTCGTTTATAGTGTTCTGAGTAAAACTCATTGTAGAACGTGAAGCTGTAATACTAAATGTCGTTCAAGTTTGCTCGTCAGGCGTTAAGGAAATCCAGATGCGTGTTAGTTATTCGTGTACATTTAGGTATTTGTGCCGAACTTCTAGAACGTGCATGGACATTGCAACAATAGTGTAATAAAAGATCTTGGAAAACGCATAATTATTAAATGAAAGAAAAAAATCGATATGTGTTCGTAGTCTATCAACCTTTCGTAAAAGGATTCCGGATAATATTACATAAATAGAAATAGTAATGTGCTAATTTCTGTTCATGTTGATCCTTAAAGGTCACCAATCGTATTAATTTGCTTGGTATAATCAAAATTTTGAGAAACTGTATACGTGTCCAATATTTCTGCTCTACATATTTAAGATCAGTAAAAGTGGAATAGCCTAACCATAGAATGCCAAGAAGTAATATTGAACAAAAATTTTGCACTACTTTCTTATTTATGTAGCAAATAATTTTTATCAATAGCTTACGCTCTTCTGTGTACTGTTGTTCTTCTGTGTATTAGAATTCTCTAATTTTATTATAATTTTACAACTATGTAATAAACAATAGTAATTTAATTATTTATTAAATTATCACGTTAACAATTTATTATTGCTTTGCAAAGTTGTAGAATATGCATATGTGAATTTTGAAATAATCAATACTTGTTACTATAAACACTAGTTTCTATAATTTTATACATTTTATGTTCAGTTCTTTTTACAAGTTTTTAACTTTAAGAAAATTGTGTAAGAAACATTTTCCCTCAAGTGTGCTTGAAAAATATCTATTGAAATTGCATCATAAAGTACCAATGAATTCTTGTTATTCAATATATTTCTTTAATAAAAGATCAATAAGAGATGTGTGTTTATTTCATTGCCTTCCTATAGTGAAAGTACATTGGTGTTTTTAATATCTGTTTTTTGTGTGTCTCAGTGTAATTACCACTGTCAATTTGACGAAGATTTGTTGCGTTTATCAACTGGCAGCACAACAACATGACGTCAACAAAGTCTAAGGAAATAGCTGATGAGTACATCTCATCATTGTCTGATTTGACGATTAACAGCAAGCCCTTGATTAATATGCTTACTATGCTGGCAGAGGACAACATTGAACATGCACCAGCAATTGTTCAAGCTGTTGAGAATCATCTGCAAAAGGTTATTTATCTGTTGTAATTATCTGAAAATAGTATAAGTTGCTTTGTATATTATAAAATATATTATTATGCTTACATTGTTGCACACTTAACATTTGTGATCCATGTATTTTAATATGCTAGAAATAGAGAAGCTGTATTTCATACCCTTTTTATCTCAAAGATAGCATAAATAAATAAGCCTGGTGAAATGGAATGAAATGGAATTTATAATAAATCATATAATACAATGTAATTATTTATGTTATCACCTTTTTTTTGTTTTTCAATTACATCTATATATGTTACCTTTTGTGTATATATTATGGTATGAAATGTTAGCTTGAATTCATAATGTCTTGAATTAAAACAAAAACATTATATTGTGTTTTAATAGGTGAGAAGTGACATCAAATTACCTGTCCTTTATTTAATTGATTCAATTGTGAAGAATGTTAATGGAGCATATTTAAATCTCTTCACACAAAATATTGTAAACACTTTTTGTGGAGTGTTTGAAAAGGTATGTTTTCCAAGTTTGATATAAGAAATATAAGTACTTGGCATTATATTATAAAGAAACCAATGCATTGCAACAATAAGATTGCTGCACTTTAGACAGAGCTATAAGATAATTGTTTAGTCAATATCAAGTCATTGTACTTTCTTTACTTTCTCTGTAGTGTAAAACCTTTATAAAACATTTCAGAAATAGTAATGTTTGTATATATGAACAGGTGGATGAGAATACAAGAGCCAGCATGTGGAAATTAAGACAAACGTGGAATGATGTATTTCCAGCAAAGAAATTATTTTCTTTGGATGTACGGGTGCAAAGTATTGATCCTGCCTGGCCAATCACTGCCTCTCCTACTAGCGTTTCTTCAGGATCTATTCATGTTAATCCTCGTTTCTTTTCAATGGTTAGTATAATCAGCTGGTACAATTTAATTATGTATCTTTATATTTAAAATATATATCTATGTGGTATTTTAATTATTTCTAGCCCCAACAATCAGCAACATCTATTGTATCACAACCAATTGTAGCACCTGTTAAGCTTCCACCAGGTGATCCTGTGACACCAACAGAAGCAGCAATGCGAGAACAATTGTTAAAGAAACAAAGAGAACTGATAGAATTACAAAAGAAGAAGATTGAGTTAGAATTACTTCAAGCTAAAGCTAATTTAGAACAACAACAACGACAACTTGACAAACAAGCAGGGAATTTAAAAGCTGAAATGGTGAGTCACAAGATAATCTTACTTTTTAAACTACATATTTGAATTGTAGCTAAACCTCATTTATTCTTATTTGCATAGGTTGCGGCGACAACACATATAACATCAAGCACAGAAACTATTACACAGGGAAAACCTGTTGTAACTACTGTGCCAAGTCAAGCACCAAAACAAGTAGGAAAACAGGTAATTTTTGGTTATAAATTCTTATATATGTGGCATCAAGCCACATATAGTAATATTATTCAGTAATACTATTCCGTTATGAACTGTTTTTTTAATATTCTTTTTCTCATTTTTAGTTTCCAGCAGCAACTGCTTCACTTCTGAAAAATGCAGGAACGAACAGTGGTCCACGAATTGCGCCAGCTAGTAGTATAGCAGTAGCATCAGCTAAGCCTGTGTCTCGTGATCCAAGATTAAAGACTACTTCGGCTCAAGATGTACCAGTTCCAAGCGTGGATCCTCGACAGCAGCGAATAAGTACACCAACTCAAAAGGATTCGCGGGGTGACGGCCAAACGCAGCTAGCGGCAAATACAAACACTGTACTTTCAGATCAATTAAAACAGCAGTTACTTTCGAAACAGGCTGTGACTAGCACTATCAACAAGTCTCCGACAAATCTTGCCGGCTCCGATACTGCGACGATAAACGCTAGTAATAACAATAATGCTAATACGAACCTCAACAATAATAATAATAAAAATTTCAGTGGTAACGCAAATAAAGATGCTGTGTCGCATCGAACAAGTCAAAAGAAAGACCCTCGATTGTCTAGTAATAGTAGTGGTAACCTAAACAGTAATAGTTCCAAAGGTTCTCAAAGTCTGTCTGTGGGTAGTAATAGTTCTTTATCCGCGAGTAACAGAGGAGGTGGTAGTAACGATTCTAAGTCGAAAGATTCGAAGAGCTCGAATTCACGTAGTTCTTCGTCTTCGGCGATTGATAAATCTTCCACTTCCTCCAAATCCTCGCATAGGAAACTAGGTAACAAGTCGCGATCTAAGCAACCTCAGACATCTCCGAGTAAGATACCGAAAGTCGACAGAGATGCCAGTCCTGTTAGGTCCAAATCTCGTGAAAAAGACAGTGGAGACAGTTCACCATCCTCGCGTACCTCTCCTCAATCCTTTCAAACCTCTAAAAACCGAAAGAAGAATACGAAATCGAGAAAACGCAGTCCAAGTCCTCCATATAGAATCCCCAGGCGTAACGATGCAAAATCCAATTCAAGTTTAAGCAGTTCCGGTGGTGTTACCGAGGAGGAGCAATCTGGTTCATTAATAGTCTCTCCTCCTCACCCACCAACATTTAAAGAAATCAGACCGAATACTAGACAAAGAAATTACGTAAGGCGTAACAAGGATGGCAGTCTTAGTCCCGAGCGCTCTCCAGCAAATGCTGGGAACGTTCAAATTGCTGCGGAACCGACTTTGGAATCATCCAGCAAAGATGAAGACTTGAGAGCAACACTACCTCTTCCAGGTGCAACTGCTTCGGTACCAGAAAAGAGTAAGTTCATACCTTACGTTTTTCGACATAAATATAAATTACTTGTAGATACATGTATCACTTTTTGTTCCTCAATGGTGAGTCAGTCTGTACGACGTGGGTTTACAATGATACCTTGTATCCTAAATATTTGTGTATCACGACGATTTCAGCCCTAATATTTAAGGATAAAACGTTA